TAAATATACCTAAATATGAAAACTGTGTCTTTATGCACATTTTCAAAGTAATTTTGAGTAATTATTTGAAGTTTCCAGGTGTAAGATGAGGTGTACAATAACCACGTATAAAAAAGCCACATTCACTCATAGGCCTACATATTACGATGAACTAACCTGAAAAGAGCCTCAACAAGATCCAACATCTAGATCTAGATTTATAATGTCGAAATGGAATGAACATTTTGTCTCAGTATAATCCAAACTAGAAAACTGTCACTATAATTATTTCAGGAGCAATCTTCAGCCACCATAATCTCCCTAACCAACACAAACAAATTAAAATTATGCACACAAAAAAACCCAGCTGTTTGGAATCAAAACCCATCAAATAACTTTCAATCTACTAGGCCCACATCAAAACTTTTGGTATGTTTGTGTTCAGAAACGAAAGTTGCTTTTATTGGTGTTCATTTTAGATGCCTCTATTGAAGAATAAAAATAGACTATTGAAGTAAATGGCCATTAGCAAAAAAAATGGTGCAGTGTTACATAACACCGTTCACACAAATATGGGTGTAACTTTATAGTACTTGAACACTGAGCCTAAGTAAAAGAAGCAAAGATGCTGATGTACATTCTAGGATTACATCTATGGTGGCTGAGGTACTTTGAAGCCCTTCTTTTGAAATACATCAAAATAATAAAATGTATCAGAACCCACATTCGGCATGAAAAGTGAAAACACAGCTAGATCTAGATCTAGATTTCTATATGTACACACTTTGTTATACAATAAATCAAAGGCTTACATTTATAGTTTTGTTTAAATATACCTAAATATGAAAACTGTGTCTTTATGCACATTTTCAAAGTAATTTTGAGTAATTATTTGAAGTTTCCAGGTGTAAGATGAGGTGTACAATAACCACATATAAAAAAGTCTCATTCACTCATAGGCCTACATATTACGATGAACTAACCTGAAAAGAGCCTCAACAAGATCCAACATCTAGATCTAGATTTATAATATCCAAATGGAATGAACATTTTGTCTCAGTATAATCCAAACTAGAAAACTGTCACTATAATTATTTCAGGAGCAACCTTCAGCCACCATAATCTCCCTAACCAACACAAACAAATTAAAATTATGCACCAAAAAAAGTCAGCTGTTTGGAATCAAAACCCATCAAATAACTTTCAATCTACTAGGCCCACATCAAAACTTTTGGTATGTTTGTGTTCAGAAACGAAAGTTGCTTTTATTGGTGTTCATTTTAGATGCCTCTATTGAAGAATAAAAATAGACTATTGAAGTAAATGGCCATTAGCAAAAAAAATGGTGCAGTGTTACATAACACCGTTCACACAAATATGGGTGTAACTTTATAGTACTTGAACACTGAGCCTAAGTAAAAGAAGCAAAGATGCTGATGTACATTCTAGGATTACATCTATGGTGGCTGAGGTACTTTGAAGCCCTTCTTTTGAAATACATCAAAATAATAAAATGTATCAGAACCCACATTCGGCATGAAAAGTGAAAACACAGCTAGATCTAGATCTAGATTTCTATATGTACACACTTTGTTATACAATAAATCAAAGGCTTACATTTATAGTTTTGTTTAAATATACCTAAATATGAAAACTGTGTCTTTATGCACATTTTCAAAGTAATTTTGAGTAATTATTTGAAGTTTCCAGGTGTAAGATGAGGTGTACAATAACCACGTATAAAAAAGTCACATTCACTCATAGGCCTACATATTACGATGAACTAACCTGAAAAGAGCCTCAACAAGATCCAACATCTAGATCTAGATTTATAATATCGAAATGGAATGATCGAAATGGAATGAACATTTTGTCTCAGTATAATCCAAACTAGAAGACTGTCACTATAATTATTTCAGGAGCAATCTTCAGCCACCATAATCTCCCTAACCAACACAAACAAATTAAAATTATGCACCAAAAAAAACCCAGCTGTTTGGAATCAAAACCCATCAAATCTAGCAGACGCGCCCGCACAGACGCTACAAAATGAAAGTACAAACAGAAAAAGACCTATTTTCGGCATTTGCGACCGTAATTTTGGTTGATGTCGTGAAATATTACTTTCGCGTGTATTTAATGAAGGCTAGTGTAGCGAGCCGTTTTTCAGCGGCTCGCCGGCCAAACTCACTTCGCGCCGAGCCGCTCCCACCGGCTCACCGGACATGAAGAGTTAATGGGCGTGAAAGGTGTTGAGCCGCAAAGCAAAAATACAATGAAAATTCACAAATCTGCGGAAAAATGACAGTTTCTTCCCGTTGATTATTTTGACGAGCACCTTATTTCACCACAATGCCTCACATTTTGAAAAGTAAGGCATAGCTGAGTCTAAGGCCTACACTGAGCAGGGAAAATTTTCATGGTAGTTGACGGTGACCTTGACCTTTGTACAGTTATGAACAGCTGATGAGCCTGGGGACGACTCGTCACTGGGTCAACTTTGAGGACTTGTTCATGATGTGTGAGGAGATCCTCAAGGAGCACATCAAAGGCTTCCATCACCCGCTGCTGGTTCCGGTCAAGACCATGTTTGGGTGAGTTGTCGGAGTCTCATATTGGGGAGGGGACTCTCGTCGCCTAGAGGTTAAGGTGTTGGCCTCTCATTCAAAGGTCCCGGGTTCGAATCCGGGTAGCGACCAAAAAATTTTCTTCTTTAAAATTGTCTCCTTTTACCTCCTTTCCTACTCTCTAGCAATGTTCTGTTGTCTGCTTTCATTTCCACTTTCTGCCCCCACCCCCTCACCTTCTTTGACCCCTCCTCTGGGCTCCTGACTCTTTCTGCAGCCTTTCTACTGCTACTCCTTGGCTCCTCCTTACTGCTGTCTTTCTGCCACACCCTTGGTCTTCTGGTAGGAAAGATCTACACCTAGCCTTCTCGGACAAGGGCGAAAAATCTCGGAGGGCCCGTGTGCAAGTTGCGCACGTTAAAGATCCCTTAGTGGTCTAAAATCGATCAGAGTAGGCTTCGGCCACCACCCGGGCAAAATTCAAAATTTCCTACCAACTGAAAATATTAGGTGTGTCCCGCGCGCTCATATGACCTTATGCAGTTGCAAGCGCCGTAAAACACTTTACAAGAACAAAAATCATGTTGGGGAATTAGTTTTTTTCCTGACTTCTTGTAAACTCTGCAAGCTTGTGGTTGGAGGGCACCTCTGACAGTTCTATTTCTTTTCAGTCTTTTTACTGTTTCTATCTGTCTATCTTTGTGTCTTGCCTTTTCCCAACACTAGTTTTGC